AGGGTGCACCACGTGGAGGCAAGTCTATCGCACACCCCTCGCAATATCATTAAAGCTTGAAAATCAATCCTACTCTATTGAGATACGGATCGATAATCGTTTTGTCTCTTTGTGGCCTTGAGCAATGATTTTTGCAAGACGCTTCGTGCGCTAGCCCTACATTATCGGAATAAGTCAAGTCTCTTACGAATGTGGAATATTTCGGAAGTCATGCCAATTTATTCAGTAAAAATACTAATTATTATCCACAAGTGTTTATTCATCGAGCGTTCCCACCCTTATCTAACTCTCACATTGCGATTTATTATGAAGATTGACTCCAGTTGAGATCAGATTTCTTTAATATTTTATTATTTTTTTGGCTTTTGATTGGAGTTTGGTAACAGATGACGCTAACGAATCAAATACATGGCGAATGCCTATCATGGAGAGTCAATTCTCTTATCGGTGCAGATTTAGAAACTCCGCGTTAATGCTTTAAGTGGGTAATTACAGGAATGACAAAACGTTATTATTATTATTATATCAAATTGATTGATGATTATCATTAGCCCTTTAGTTGACTTCAGTCTTCACAGAGGGGAAGGAACATCAAAGTGTAAAAAATTCAAGAAGGGGGGGGAGGGGGAACAGAAGAGTGTATCAAAGACGAAGGTAGATAAGGTGGAAAAAAGGTGGGATGAGTACTGTGAAAGTAGTCGAATATGACATACAGTGGGGTCATGGTAGTTTGAAGTCAACTGCCAGGTAATAGGCTTTTTTTGCCGTATGAGTATACGTTGCCCAGGTTGCACCACGTGGAGGTAAGTCTATCGCACACCCCAGGAAAGGTAGAACGTAAGTTGTTCGATAGAAATGCTTCTAACAAATATGGGTGTAGGAAAATACATCACTTTCATTAGGGTGTTAGTGAGGTAGTGTTCACTGTGTTCGCTTATCACGTCTTGGGGATGCATGACAGCGGCGCGCATCCAATTCTGTGCATGACGAAATGTTTTTATTTATTATTATGTTCAGTAGAAAAGGTAGTAAAAGCGAATGTTGTCAATAGGTAGCCTGGGGGATTCTTTGCCCTTAACTTAGTTTAAACTTTTCGAAATGAGCCTTGAGATATTTGACTTCTCTCAAATTTGACCTGGAGCTTCTTATTTAACGATTAGAAAAGATTGGTTCAAAGTTTGACTCTGTTCTTTATTCATCATGTATTACCTTTTCAACCTGAATGTAAAGGTATGTCGACAATATATGTCAGCATTACCTTTAATGCTTCGTGTGATTACTATTACCCTTCACTATGTCTCAACTTTTGTGTCATTTTAAAATGTTCTCTCTCTCTGGAAACTGAATACACATAGAGAATCGGGCATTTGAACAATTACTCTTCTCTTATTAGCCAATTTAATGTGTATTGTTCATGTATATTAAGGAAAAAATTTGCTCGGGTTGTCTGCCTTCAAGTTTGAAGGCTAGTATCGTTTTAAATAGGAGACAACATTCCGATCTCTTATGAAACACCCTATAGACGCAAATTTGACATTTCAAAGTGGTCCATTTTCAGATTAGGGCAATGTTGCTTAGAATATTGTCATTTTTGACTTCCTCAAGCATTCTCTCTATTCCACTACTGTTGCACGAATTTCCCCGAGCTTAAGAAATAGGCAAGTCCTGATTGGTAAATCACAGTGAAATCTTTTTCTATTGATTGGTTCAGTTGTTTCATGCTTTCCTCTTCATTATTTCTATTCACTTATAATTTCCTTTCTTGGAAACACGCGGAAAGAGATTAAAGTCATTTTCTTTCTTGTTGATGCGCGAGAGTTGAATTTCTCATTGAATTTTGTACTTAGTATTATTGATGTTTCACACCGGGGTGTGCGATAGACTTACCTCCACGTGGTGTACCCTGGGCAACGTATACTCATACGGTAAAAAAGTCTATTGACTGGCAGTTGATTTCTCACTTCAAACTACCAACACCACGCTCTATGCCATATTCGACTATTTTCGCAGTACTCACCTCACCTTTTTTCTACATTTGTGTTTGTCTCTTACATCTTAGAAACGCTCTTCTGTTCCCCCCTCTCGACTTTTTCCAATTTGATGTTCCTTCCCCTCTGTGAAGCCTGAAGTCAACTAAAGGGCTAATGATAACCATCAAGACGCCTGCCATTTGATATAAATGAATACTTTACTGGAGCATGAAATTGAGAAATTTAGTCATATAAACGCAAGCTCTTCTTTTTTATATTCGAGTATGAAAGTGTACCAATTTGGCCTAGCCTTTTAAGGCTTTTCGACGATAAAATGGAGAATGAAGATATTTGTAGATTCGCATCTTAAAATTCATCTAAGAGAAGAAGAAAGTACAATTATTTGTCATAAATGAAAATTATTTTTGTTTACTTTTGGCGTCGTTATTTACCATTTGCGAAATAGAGCATATCGTTTGTCCTTTCTTAGTGTGGTTGAACATGTCACTTTCTCGCGTACCTAATTAATTTTTTTCTTGCTAAAACACGGCCAAACAGATCCCAGATCAACAATTATAGTCAGTTACGTCTTTAGCACGGTGCTGAGCTAACCATTTAGCTGTCCTGAATTGGCGGTTGGGTTCTCCCAGGTATGACGAGTAGCAGCCTAATATGATTCATTCCCCAATTAGCTGTAGCATTAGGATATGCTCTCGCTTTAAGACAGGATGATCTTGCATATACCATGAGTGTTTCTAACTTATTCATCAAGTCTCTTAATTTTAACAATGGATTTCAATTAAAGAAGACATTTTAGAGCCCTCCTTTTTGAGTAATTCGCATTCTACTGCCTATCTCATTGGTCATTTAGTTGGCTATTGGAATTCTGTGAGTTTATTGTCTATGGATTTTCTAATAATTGGTCTCCTGATTCTTTTAAGAATGTTCATCAGCTTTCTAATCTTTAATTCTCCCCCGAAGCACCTTAATTGAAAACATTTTAAGTGACCATTTCTTTTTTACTTAATTTACAACCCATATATAATTTAGTGTTTTGGAAATATTTAAGGAAACATGAATCTTTATAGTGTTGAGTAAGCCTTATTTTAATTGGTTCGATTTAATAAGATTCGCTCTAGCTTTTGGTCATCCAAACCAACATCGTCTATTATTATTCTAGCTCGTGAAACCAAGAAAGAAAAATCCTCTTTCGCGTCTTCGACATGGAATACGTTCAAAATGGTCATCTGATGATTCCGGCCCCTTCTCATCCTCATCTCGTTTCCTTAGGCTCTTCAATCGAGATTCCCGTGATAAACTTTACGAAGTTGGAGAAAATGCTCTTCAAACCGAAAATGAAGCCTCAGAGGACACAAGTCTCGGCAAATCGGTCCCCAAGTCCTTGAGTTTCAGCAGCCTTTTTGGTCGTCAGCGTCGCGTAGAGAGTGAAACTTGTGAAAATGATGGTCAGAAATCTGGTCGACCGCATACTAGACATCCATTAACAATACTCGCAGAGTCCCCAACTCAAGGGGAGAGCAAATTTAGCATAAAAAATCGATTGAAGTCCAAATTATTCGCTAATGAGCCCAACAGTAGACCTGCTAATCAAAGTAACATATCTGTTCCTGCTCCAACCGGAGATAATGAATCTCGTAAGTTCTTTCTGATCAAAGCCTATCTTCAATATTTCTATTTGTGAATTTCACCTGTCTCTGCCTTGTGATTTGTCACCTAATTTACCTCTATCATCTGCCAATACCGGTTTGAAGAAATTGTGCGAGTGCTCGGTTTCCTCCCTCCGGTCCTTTTGCCTTCAAATCAAGTGATTTTAGAAGCGTTTAGATTAATGTTGCTTCAGACGAAGGCCAATTGCAGCAATAGAACAAATGGCAGTCGTTTTGATAGTTATCATTAGCCCTTTTGTTGACTTCGGGCTTCACAGAGGGGAGGAGGAATATCAATGTGAGAAGAATTCAGGTGGGGGAATAGAAGGGTGTTTCAAAAATGCAAAAGAAACAGACTCAAAGGCTCAGAAAGGGTAAGATGAATAGTGGTAGGGGTCGAATATGACATACAGTGGGGGTATTGGCAGTTTGAAGTGAGTAGTCAGTTGCCGATTAATAGACTTTTTTGCCGCATGAGTATACGTTG